GGGGGGGGGGGACGTGTACCCAGGTCTCCACGGTGGTAGCCCGACTCTCACTGGCAGGAGAGGCTGCCTGTAATGAGCACTGGCCGGTTGTCTCGCTCTTGCTGTCAAGGCCAGGTGGATCCCCCAAAAGGCACGTGCAACCTGCGTACGTCTTGAAAACACGGGGTTTCAAATCTGGAGGGGCAAAGCGCCTATCAGTACAAACCTAAGAACCCTTAAGCACAACGGAGTTGACCCACTTGCGGCTGCACTGCAAGAAAGCAGCTCCCTCCTCATGGAAAGAGAAAGGGGCTCTTCTTCACGACACAGAGCCGCTGAGCTGAGGATGTCGTCGTCCCGTCCCCCCCACCCCACCCCCACAAACAGCAAAGAAAATAAAGGGCTGGGGGGGAGGGGGCGCTGACTCTCCTGGAACTTTGAGGTTGCTGCAGAGACCTCCAAGCGGGCGGCTGTGCCAGTCTAAGTAGGAAGAGGAAATCTCCGGAGCACAAACCCTCCGCAGAAGGCTCCCTCAGAAATACGCTTTAAAAAAAACCTGAAGAACTCCGTTGCAACCAACAAAAAGGTACATAGATTGTATAGAACATCATCTAGTGTTTAAGATAAATTATATCAGTTCCACCTTACATTATATTTATATCTTTACATAAGCTGTGTTCTTTTTTATCAAGTGCTTGAAATTGTTCTAAATTGCACTGCAAGAAGTTTTGTGACTGCCTCTTCTCTTGCGGTCTCCTCCCACCCTACCAGACGAATAGGTGTGTGTGTGCGTGAGCGCACGCGCGCAAAGTGCCGTCTAGTCGCAGCTGACTTACCGCAACCCCACAGGGTTTCCAAGGCAAGAGGCGAACAGAGGTGGTTGGCCACTGCCTGCCTCTGCATGGTGACTAACAGAGGTGGTTAGCCATTGCAATTATTTAACCAAGGGAAAACCGCAAATCTTGCGCTTCAGACTTGCTGGGATGGGTGGCGGAGGGAGCTGCAGGCCAAATCCAAGCCAGGAGACAGTGAGCGCATGGGGGCCCCGCAGTATCCACTGTGCTGAACAGAGCCAAAGAACGACACAAACCACTTCTCATTTTAAATGAGTAAATAATCAATGCGCCCTTACAAAGAGTTTAACTCCAGAAGAAAAGGTCAACACAAGCAACATCCGTTGGATTTTTCATCTTATCTGCAAGGTACTGAACCCTCTCCAATTAGGAGGACTAGTTTTTCCTGACCTTATTCAGTTAGCCCTAGCGAGAGTTCAGGCCGATTCCGTGTTTACCTTGAAATTCAACGTCCAACACATTTAATCCTGCTATGACCATTCCCCCCACCCACCACCCACCCCCAGGGGGAGAAAGAGAGTCAGGGGTCCTCCATTAACGACAGACAAACTAGCACAGCAGGCGAGCTTTTGAGTTCTCCAGAACTCTGCATGGGCTGGATGTGCAAACAGAAGGGGTGGAGTGAAATAAACCTCAGGCCAGGAATCTCCATCAGCATCCTATGCCGGATGCTTTGTCGATTACAATAGTCACAAGTTAAAGCTAATATCAAGTTAAAGCACATCTTGGCATGCTCACGGCAGAAAGCAAAAAAGGAAAGGAAAGCAAAAAAGGAAAGGAAAGAGGAAGCTGTGCAATTGGGGTTGCCAGTTTCCAGGGGGAGGCTGGAGATCTCCTGGGATTACAATTCGTCCCAAGGTGACATAGCTCAGCCCCCCTGGACAACCCTGGCTGCTTTGGGAGGTGGCCTCCGTGGCACCGTGCCCTGCTGAAGCCCCTCCCCTACCCAAACCCCGCCCTCCACAGGCTCCACCCCCAAATATCCAGAAATTTCTCAACCTGGAGTTGGCAACCCTGCACGTACAACCAGCAGCTGATTAGGCAAATTCTCTGACACCAAATGAAACATGCGTGTCCATTTAAAGGACAAGAGCAAAGGGAAAATATTGCTGTCCTTACATTAACAGTGAAGATTCATTTTAGTGTGAGGAACTAGGAAAAATATAAGCCAAAAAATAAGGGAGTGTTGCCTAATGAAACTGCCCCGGTTCTGTTTCCTCCCGTTCAAGCCTCCCTTTCCTTACTGAGCATCACTCGCTGTATACCAAACTGCCCTGAACCCAACATTCTAAGGTCCCCGCAGAGAAATTGGTCCTCTCTCCAACATGCCATTTACTTAACCCAGAGTTACAGGTCTGGAAAAGTGACTTCTGCTCAGCTTTCTCCTTAGGACAATATTTGCTTCCCAAAGAATTCTCTTTGTACCTCTTATTAGCACTCACGCTTCCCTCTGGACATCCAACACAGCAACGCTGCCTGCCCTTTCCCCAAGACACTCAGGCTGGCATGCACGGGGGGTGGGGGGGGATTCCCTCACCTTGCCCCATAAGTTACTAGCAATATAGTTTTACTTACTAGCCCACCTACACACACACACACACACACACCTTTTCTGGGTGATGGCAGAATACTAAAACACCATGGGCAATCCAGAGAGCAAATTTGGTGTAGTGGTTAGGAGCACGGACTCTAATCTGGGAGAACCGGGTCTGATTCCCCACTCCTCCACGTGCAGCTGCTGGCGTGACCTTGGGTCAGTCACAAGTTCTCTCAGAGCTGTTCTCTCAGGAGCAGTCCTCAAAAGAGCTCTCTCAGCCCCACCTACCTCACAGGGTGCCTGTTGTGGGGAGGGGGAGGGAAAGCAGCCTCCTCCAGCCACTCTGAGACTCCTTCAGGTAGTGATGGGCAGGGTATAAATCCAATCTCCTTCTTCAAACAGGAATCAGCCCAGGAGAGTTTAAGGAGCACTGGAGAAACTGAGTACTGATTACCTTGCTCTGCCTTGCATAAAATGACTCCTCATCAGTCATTACCACAAATTACCCAGTGCTCACCTAATAATCCTGTGGGATGTATTAACCTAACCAGTGTTCCCGCTAAGCTGAGTGAGTGTGAGCTAGCTCACAGTTTTTTTGCCTCTGGCTCACTGATTTTTGTCTTAGCTCAGGGAGGATGGCGCCAGAGCCAACTAATTTATGCAGTAGCCGAATCGCTCGCTCACAGCTTTAATGCCAGGAGCTCACAAAGCAGAATAATTGCTCACGAGACTCCACAGCTTAGAGGGAACATTGAACCCAACCGGTACGGGGTTGGCTCAAGATCTGACCCCGCAGAGGGAAGCAAGCCCTCTCCTTCCACCGAAGAGAGTTGAAGGCATTTGTCTAATCCCAGAGAGGGCTTCTGTTTAATTCTCCAGCCGTGGCCTTGGGAACGCCCCTCCCCACTCGAGTCTGGTCTACCTGACTGCCTTTTATACTCATCACAAGCCAAAACATTCCCCTCGACCCCAGGGCTTTCCACGGAGAGGTTCCGCCTTTTCCAAGCTGTACTTGTGGTCTGCTTCTAGCCCAAGGCCTGTTTTAACAGCTATCGTTTTTAGGCAGCTGAATGTTGTTTTACATCTTTTTCTATGCCCCTGGCTTGTATTTCACACGGATCATTCTTGTATTGCCGCTTCACTGTGTTTTTTGCAAGCTGCCTGGAGCCCCTCTCTGGAGGAAGGAGACACCCATTCTCCTCTGTCCCTGGCCCTCCGGATCCAAAGCCAGCGGGGAGATTAGAGACGTGCAATTGCAACCGTGTTTGTTGACCTAGGAGGAGAAGGGCCACCTGCCGCTCCCAGAAGCGAAGCCGAGCGCACCTGCACACACCTGTCACCGGGGCCATCCCGGACAGAACGGCGCCCTCCTCAATCCGCGGGAGGCGTCCCCGGAAACACCAGCCCGGGCAGGGGGCAGGAGGAGGCAGAGCGCCCGCAGGGGAGGGGGTCGGGGCGCTCCTGGGGAGCGGGGCCTCCTCGCCCAGGCGGCGCGGGAGCCGGGTTGCCAGGTCCAGGCCGGGGGGCTCCGGGAGAGGCGGGGGTGGCGGGCCCATCAGCGGGGCGCAGCCAGCGCCCTAGCGCTTTCTCCGCGGGGCTCCGCGGGCGTCCCCTGGTCCCGCCGGGAGGCTGCGGGGCGTGCGTCCCTGAGCCGGGTCCGAAAGCGCACGGGTCCCCCCCCCCTCCTGCCCCTACCTTGGCCTCGAAGGCGATGCCGTGCTGGAAGGCGTCCTCGTTGTGCAGCGGGAGGCGGAGGTCGTGCCGGTCGTCCACCAGGCTGTAGCGGGACTTGGCGGCGGCGGCGGCGGCGGAGGAGGGGGAGGCGCCCACGGGCATGGCGGAGCGGAGCAGAGCGGAGCGAAGCAGAGCGGCCACCTGAGCCCGGCCGCCGCCACCTCTGAGCCCGGCGACACGCAAGCCAGGCACCCCCGCCCCCCCCGGGCATGCGCCGAGGCGGAGGAGGA